AATTTTCCGTAAATTCCGTAAAGTCCTTTCTTAAATAAAACTGGTTTATTCTTTCCGAATACACATTTACGATACACTTAATTTCAACAGTCGTTCTATAACAATGCTATAACTCACGTCTCACATGGCCAACAATATCATGTCTGCATACATTCAATTACTCATTACCTCCCCGTTGGTTCGTGGCCGGTCTTATATATATTTACAAGACTACACTATATCTAGAAAGATCACGAGATTTAAGGAAAAGACGTGAAAGTTCGAGAATGACGTGGCGTGATACTAGTCACGTGACCTCGATGTCGTAACAATATCAACATTAAAATGTCAAATTGATGCAGGAAAGTTATATTAAAAATTTCAAAAAACAACGCAAGTGAGAAAATCGAAATTATAAACGAACTGATTGATTGTTTAGGATATTCGCTCTCTACGCTAGTCGTCCCTACTTTTGAAGTACTAGACTAGAGGGAAGGCAACCAGTCAGCAACACTCACCGCCAACTATTGGGCTACTCTTGTCTGATCAACTAGTGGAACTTGACCGACACTCTTATAGCACATCCACAGCCCCAAAGTTTGGAGTGCATTTTCGTGACAACGGGTCGCGAACCATGATCCTTAAGATTCATAATCCGGGCAACATTAGGTCCGGATGAGAGGTTATAATTGCACGTGGAGATTCCGTGATGCGAGTTCTTACTTTTCGTTTTTATAACTTCAGTATATTGAGATTTAAATGTTACATTAGTGGACTCGGGATTTATTGTGACTACTAACTACAGCAGGTGAGAATGATGCAAAATAACGTGGCTTTCTGTACTTTAAAACTACGTGGTTTCAAAAAAAGCTAAATGTTGTGTGTGTGTGTGTGTTTATAATGTTGATAAACAGTGGCATTATAGATATAGGCTGCTATTATAAATATGATGAAATATGAAGTTTTGATTAATATTACCCGGAAACGAATCAGACAACGAATACAGACTTAAGAACATTGTTTACTTAAAACTGTGTTAAGCTTTTACTTCGTGAACTACTTTGCATACATAAATATTACGTTTTCTATACTTATTAGAAACAGTTCATTTTGATTGGTTTACGAGCAAAAAAAAACATTCTACTATTGGTCAGTATAGAGTTGTATATTATATCTTCTGGGCATGTAGTCAGAAATTCAGTTATTTTCAGGTTATAGTCTTTGGTAAGTATTGAACTCGACAAGATTTTCATGTCTCCCTTCTCGCCAGGGTTAAGACAACAGCTGCGGCGCAGCTTTGTTGGGCATTACCGACGACCCCTCCCTTAGATAATGGACACCTCCCCCGGTCGGAGATGTTCATCGATCGAACGTTGCAATCGTTCTCGTATGTAGCTAGGGGTAAGCCACGCCGTTTGGTTTGGCGTGTATGCGGGGGGAGGGCGGCCCGTGGGGGAGAGTGTGCGAAAGCGCCGTGATGTGCAAAGTAATCGTCCGAACGACGTTAAAGAAATGAAACTGTATCAATCCAAAAACATCCTGTTAAGTTATGAACTCTTTCAAATCAGCTAAGACTATGTTTTGTGTCTCAGGGACTGAGAAGTGCCAAGCCAGTGTACGTAGTGCCCAGAACGTTGGAATGGTGCTCGTAAGTTAAGTATGCACATTTCCACAAGTCCATAAGAGTGGTGATTAAACTCATTTCCATCTAGGAAATACCGTCTAACCTACGTTTCTTTTACTGCCATTTGTAGTACGAGTTTCCTTTGACGGATGCAGAAGATTTTGATAACAGAAGTTCAGGCTAGCCTACGAGTTCACTAGCGAAGCTGTACTCGCATGAGTCAGTGACGTGTCGACATCCATGCTTCGCGGAGAGGAGGTAAGCCTGTAAGTGTTCAGCAGACTGCTGGGCTGCCATAATATTGATAGACGGGTCAGCAAGGCTGACTAGGTCACTCAGAAAATTTTGGACTGACAAATGACCTGTAGACCTCACTTACTTTGGTATTCAATCACCCAATGTTTAATTTTTTTTTGGATCGTAACATTGGTTTTTCGCACAGCTGGATGCAGAAATAGTTTTAGAAAATTTCTGTTTAAATACTGTCACAAAACTGTTAAACTATTTATACAAAGTATTATTTTCTTTAGCGTATTAATACAATGACCCATCTTCTTGAAACTGTCCATTTTCATCACCACTGTTCGAGGTAAGTTTCCAGCTTCACCATAAAATTCATGTGATTTTTTCTAATTTATTCTTTCAGTATTACAGTTTGCCAGACCACAATGTATAAAACTTAAGAACAATTTAACTTACAACTGAAAACAAAACTCGTAAGGTGTTCCTTCTCGAAACAGGAATTTTACACGGTTCTTCCCAGTGCACACTTTTGAGTTCGTCTGTTTTTAAATGTGTGTGCCTAATATTTTGCAGATTATTCAAAAACGTTCTTGACGGCTATATATATATTTCCATTTTATTTTTCTCTCAAAATGCATGTAACCTAGGGGGCATGACCTGTAAATTCCTGTTATTTTTAGAACACTTCCAAATCACGCGAAATTATAATTTTTATTAATTAATTATTATTTTTGCAGTAATGTATCATTGCGCAGCCGCTTACGTCATTATGAAAGTCCTACTTCTCTTGTCATATGAACATTAACAATGATTCCTTTCTCACGGTTCTAGTAAAAATACAAACAAAACGACAACAGTATCACAACGACGAACCAGAAAATAAATTAATACATCTCGCGTGAATTGGATAAGTCACGTGCAAAAAAAAAAAAAAAAAAAATTATGATCAAATAAACTATCAAAAATTTCTTGAATGAACGAGATCCGCCCTCGTAAATTATAGCCTAGTAGTAAGAAATAGTATGAAATTCTTACTCTGGATTTTCATGTACGACGTCGACGTTACACTGCCTTCGTTCTTACTACCACTTTCTGGTGTAAGAGATTTGTTATTAATCAACTTAAACAGGCATGCCTGAGAATGGAATGAAAAGAAACTAAAACCTAAATGTTAAGATTAAATCATGTTTTAATATCGCTTTGAGAAACTAAGTTATATACAACCATGTAATTTCTCGGTGAGTTTTTTTTTACAGTATTACATCTTCTAGTTATGTAATAAAAATGTAAAATGGTTTAAAGTTACTCAGTATCAACACAAATTTTCTGAAACACGAAAAGCACGTGTTAACAGATCCTGAAAAGTAAAGAAAAGTCACGTTTAATTCCAATCTCGGCGAGAACCGAATAATTATTAAGTTAAAGGTGACTGTTGCGTTCTTGTTTTATTGAAGGTTATTAATTAAATTACTTTAAAAAAAACAAAAAAACTTTCATCTGTTGTTTTTTTTTTTACATTTTTTAAGACAAAATTCATACTAATGTTATATCAGTTTTTTTTTATGTTTACATATATTTGAGAGTTGTCTAGTATATGTTCTTGGAAATGGAGAAATAGTAATAAAACATTCTACAAGTTTCTCCTGTATGATTACAAAAAAAATATCAGTGTTCTTCATGTAGCTGTGAATGATATAAACAAACTTTCAACACTTGACTCTCAGCGTGAAGCCTACTATTGTAAATGACAAGCTCTCCATTGGTTCGGTAGAAAGTCTCGGGGGTTATGACGCTAAATATGCCCGTGGTGGGCAAAGCACGGATAACCCACCGTGGAGCTTTGCGCTAAACAACAAAACGTGTACGTTTCTGTTTATACGGTACGTTAATACTACCATCTAGCTACTAAGGTTCGTTTGATAATATTTTGCGTTTCCAGAATATTCGATTTTGGATCTTGTACCGTAAACGGAAGAAGTCCATGTTGTATGTAAAAAATGCGAAACCTTTGTTGAATTAATTTTTTAGGCTACGTAATGACTTACCTTTCACGCGTTAAGTTCAACGTTTTTGGTTATAATTATAGTTATGTGTATCTTGGCGATAAATAAGTACAATAAAATAAATAGACAATAACAGCCATTCGTAGTACGCAATCTGATATCAATCCTTCCAGAATGAAAAAGTATCGTTAATTTTATTAAATCCACACCTTCATATCTCGAGGATAAAGATAAGGTATTACATAAAATGATAGAATACTTTATTATAACTACGAATGATATTTATAAATAACGATAGAACGTCGAAGTTCAATGATGGGATAATTATTTTGTTTAACCCTATTTTACTAACGTTACCACGTTTCCTGTGGATTTAGCTACACACCCATTTTATTTGCATCTTACAATTTTTATGGTAGTTTAACAGCGTCGAAACAGGATTAAAAATCGTAGAAAATAAGGAAACCTAAACCTTGAGGACTGGAATGGCCTAGTGATAAGCCTGCAAACTGTGCATCGAAAGTCCGAGGCTCGAGCTCCGATATACTGCTAAAAGTGCTTTGCACTTTCAGCAGTCAACCGCGCTGTTCTGACGAGAGTATCCGTATAGGCGGCGAGTGTTGCCGATTGGATGCCCTTCCTCTTATTGGCAGTTTTACGTTAGAGTTTGTGTGTATTTACAACGCTGATTGATAAGAAAAAAGTCTTGCCATTTTCAAATACTACAGATTCTCGACATCAGTTTGTGTTTTGTAAAACTGCTGTTTTTGGTAACCATCAGTTTCTGCGCATCGACCCAAATGTTCGTTTTAATGTACCACAGACTAAGCTGGCAGTGAAAAGCATTTTACAGGCTCTGGTAATAACCTATTAATACACGGTGTTCGTAAGTTATGTTGGAGAAGCTACATTTATTTCTTAAAGTGTTGAATCTCTTGTCTGCGCTGTCGGGAGAATCCACGCAGCTTACAGTATACCTTTGTTAAGTCTAATGGAATTCTAGTGGTCATAACAGCAGAAATTCAAAGTTCCTGTTTGTAGTAACAAGGAATCAAGATTGTTAACACTTTCTGGACAATGTGTTGAATCTCTTGTCTGCTCTGTCGGGAGAATCCACGCATCTTACAGTATACCTTTGTTACGTCTAATGGAATTCTAGTGATCATAACAGCAGAAATTCAAAGTTCCTGTTTGTAGTAACAAGGAATCAAGATTGTTAACACTTACTGGACAATGTGTTGAATCTCCTGTCTGCGCTGTCGGGAGAATCCACACAGCTTACAATATACCTTTGTTAAGTCTAATGGAATTCTAGTGATCATAACAGCAGAAATTCAAAGTTCCTGTTTGTAGTAACAAGGAATCAAGTTTGTTAACACTTTCTGGACAGCATGTACTATAACATAATGTAAACTTTAAAATACACATATTTATTAGTGTTAGTTTATTTCTCGACCTCTTCCTACTAGTAACTTATAAATTAACGAAAAATGGAACTTCAAATTATGGCTCAATTTGCAAAGACATGTAATAGGCATTATTATGCGAATTTACTTAAATTAGCGATGTTTTTTATTTTTTTTTAAGGATCTTTAAGACATCATTCATTAACTACGGAGGAATACAAGAGCCATCGAAATAAGAAATTGTAAGATGGGCGTAAAAATGTTGCCTGTAGCACTCACAAACTACGGAGGACTACAAGAGCCACGTAAGAAATTTGTGGTTTCTGTATTGTTCATAAATTACGGGGACACGTGAAAGGCACGCGAGAAATTGATATTTCGATGTGCTTAATTTTTTCTATAACACAAACTACGGAGTCCTCTGAGAGCCATATGATGTGCAAGTGTCATACAGTAGTTTACTACAGACTTTTCACGATGTTCTTTCGTATCTGTTACCCTGATTGGTTATTCATTGTTACTTTTATTACTCACGAAAAACTGAAAACTAACCTCACTTCAGCGCCATCTACAATCGAGGAGGATACATTATTATTGAGGACAGCTGTTAAAAAGAATTGAAGAGTTAGACAGTAGTCGTAACGTAACAAGCGAAGTGAAGGATTGTTATCTCGGGTTTTGAGCATAGCGTTAAAACTTAAAATACCACATTTTAAAACAAACTTATAAAAATAAAACTCGTTGAAATATCAGAAGGTCAGTACTTAGAACAGCTACGTCGGTATGATGATCTACTCTCGGAAAGTTTACCTTGTGGACAAATTCTTAGGTTATTGAGTTATTCTTTGTACTCCCCCTGTAGTTCAGCGGTAAGTTTAAGGGCTTATAACGCTAATCAACGGGTTTAGATACCCGCAGTGGACAGAGCACAGATAGCCTGTTACTCTGTTTCCCTGATTAGGACTAACCAAATGCTAATTAAACTCTATGTCCCGTGTTTCCCTGTTTAGGACTAACCAAATGCTAATTAAACTCTATATCCCGTGTTTGTCTAAAACGGGACTAACCAAATGTTAATTCAACTCTATATCCCGAGTTTGCCTTATGTGGACTAACCAAATGTTAATTAAACAATATTTCATGTTTGCCTGAAGAAGACTGTTACGATAACACTATTGTTAATAAATAAACAGCAAATCTTCCTGAAGTTTGTGTCTCTAAAAAGGTTCTGTTAAATTATAATATTCACCTGATTATAAAAAGTATACGTTAACTGTAAAGTGAGAATCCACGCCTTTAAAATTGTAAATGTAGAACAAACTAAAAGCCCCACACTTGCTATGTATGTAAAGGTGTGAATGAGGTGTGAATTTATAAACAGAAGTCAAGTAAGTGGCGCGAAGAAAGAAAGTTAATAGAATTATTTATATTAAGATAGGTTCATAATCACTATAAAGTTTCACCAGTCATGATTAGCGTGCCGGACTGTGAATCGCAGGGTCCAGTGTTCGTGTCCCGTTGCTGCAAAAATGCGCTCCACAATTTGGGGCTGTGGGTGCATTATAAGAGAGACAGTCGAATACCACTAGAACAGTGTTTCTTAGCCACCGCTCCACGGACCGGTATCGATTCACGAGATTTTAGAAAAAAACAAACAACAACAAAAAAACTCGCAATAATCATATGCCAATCATCATGATTAAACACTTTTTTTTTTTTTACTGGCATCAGACTGTATAACCGCAAGTTGTTAAAACAATATCACTAAAATACTGGTTAAAAACTTGCTTTAAGTTAAATGTTGTTTACCCGGACTTACCAAAATGTTTTCGAAAACGCTAGTTTAAAAGTGTTGGTGGTGGGGACTAAAATTAATAAAGATAACTTCCGATCAGAACAAGCTCTGTAATTAGAACAATAACAGAAACCAACCTGGT